TGAGTTGAGCTCAAAGTGGCATATACCTGGTTCAGGTATTTTAGAGCTTAAATAGTGTTTAATAGTTTTATAAGTATTTATTCAAAAAGATAATGGTAATTGAGTTGAGCTTGGTCCTAATAAAAAAATAATTGAGCTTGAGCTGACCGTTAAACTTTTTATTTTTTATTTTTATGTTTATTTTTGAAGATAATAATTAATTGAATAGCAATTTATGTTAATCAAGTTGAGCTCTATGTAAAATTAATCAAGCCAAGCACATGTATAAGGTTAATTGAGTCAAGATCGAGTTTGGCACTGTCTTGACTAGTATTACACTCCTATTTACTAGTAGGGGTGTTTATATCTGATTCAATTCGATTGATCCGACCTAAATTGATCCAATCTGATAAAAAATCAAACCAAACCAATATAAAATTGAGTTGGTTTGGATTATAAAATTTTTAAACTAATATAATTGGATTGGTTTGTGATTTTACTTTTAAATTGCTCTGAACCGCCCAATTATAAAATAAAATCTAATTATAAAAAACTTAATTAAATAATATAGTATCTTTTTGTAATATTTTAAATTTTTTTCTTATTTTACAAGATGATAACTCTATTAATTTAATTAAAAAATAAAAATAAAATATTCTCATATTCTCTAATTTGTTTTCCTTTCTAAATCATGCACTCAAACCCTAATTCTAAATTTCCAATTCACTTGCAACCATATGTCTGGGAACTGGTCTACAACTCTACTTTTAGAAGTCCTAAATTTTTAATTTGTTCTTAAAATAATATTCTGACTCTAACTAAATTTTTAGAAATGTCATTCTAAAAGTCTTAAAACTATATAATAGAACTAATTTTGATATTCTACTATTCTTGGATGTTTGGTTGAGGAGTTTTAAATCTTAATTATAAATGCTTCTAATTATTCCTAATGACATTCATATTAAATTTTATTTGCTTTTAACAAGGTTTAAAAGATGAGATTGAATCATTTGGTGCATTAAGAAAAAAAAAAAAAACTAGTTTTAACCTTTAAAAATTACTTGCACTATATTTAAAATTTAGAATCATCTTATATTATGCCTTTGGTGATATAGCCAAAAAGAATTTTCCGATGTTTTCAATCTCTACAATTATAAATGAGTATAAAAACTTATTTATAATTTGTGCATTTTTTTATGTTTCTAGTAATTTAGATGTTAATTTATTTTATAGTTATATTTTTTATTTAATGTTAAGATTTTTTATATTATCTCATATATTTAATAGTATTAAAAACCGATTAATCTGACCAAACCATGCCGACTCAATTTAAATTGAATTGGTTTGATGATCATATAATAGTGAATTAGATTGATTTAAAAATTTTACTAACCGATTAAATTGGATTGACTTAAAAAATATTATAATCCAAACCAAACCCTAGTGTGTCAAGTATGGATTACCAGTGCTCCCCTTTATAACCTGACAATAATATTTTATTATTCCCAGTCTTGCAACTACAACTTTAAGTACCATTTCCTCTTTGTTAACATCTTCTCCTTTGCTTTGTTACTCAAACAGATGCAAGCATTGTTTAGAATTGGGAAGGGCGAGCCACCACGGGTTCCTGCTTCTCTGTCAAAAGATGCACGAGATTTTATCCTGAAATGTCTACAAGTTGACCCAAATAATCGTCCAACAGCTGTTCAGCTCTTACATCATCCATTTGTGAGGCAGCCTCCTCCGACACCCTCAGGCTCAGTTTCTCCTTATCTTGGCAGATGGAATTGAGAATTTCTTTCCATAAAAACCTTGGCTGCAAAAGCATCGGAGTCATCCTCGCCTCCCCTTCAGTTACTGTATTTCTGCCATTTCCATTTTTCTCTCACACATCCAGTCCAGGACGATAGATTCCAATCCCCCTGCCGTCGATCTTCATTCTCTTATTCATAGTTTCGTTTATGAATTTCGCATTTCGTCGATTGGGTGTTCCGATCATGTGTATTGTGCATACTTTTATTTTATTTTCTTCACCTTTCCCTGTTTTCGCTCTTTAGGGTTTCTTCTTTTTTGGATGTCTTCTGTATCGGTATTGACTCGGGATTTTCTTCCAGGATATACCATGATTTGTATAAATTTAGATGTCTACAGTGCCGCCACCAAATGCCTGCTATAGTATTTTGGGTTAGGGTAGTCAGGGGTATAGGGCGAGGTAAGTGTGCTTACCATGTAAATGAAGTGCAAAAGTTGTGTTGTGCATTTAGACCTTAATGTTGGTTTCATCTTAAGACAGAAAGGTTCTTTCGTCCCTGTAAATTATAATACAATCTTACCCTACTCGTTTGTTGGTTTGATTGGAGAAGATAATTTTGTCTTTTAGGAGTGTCTTAAAGCTTGCTCAACTTTTAGATGTTGTATATTTATGAGGGATTTTGAATGTCTTC